TATATATCAAAGTAATAAAATCTCATGCGAGATGTTTGGTAAAAATAAATAATTTTAATATGGATTATATCTACTTAGTATTGTCGAAATTAGCCTCTGGATTTAACTTTTATTCTATAGATCTATGATTTCTTTATAAATGTAATAATAATATTATTGTTTATGAAATAGCTTTTCCGAACAATAATGAAATAAAAGCTTATTATAAAGTCATTATTTTCGTTTCGAACGACATCTCTTTTTGTTCAATAATTTTAACTGTAACCAATAAAGCTCAATGTTTGTCATCTTCGTTTTGAGATATCAAATCTATTTACAAAAGTACAAATTTATTTTATATTCTTTCAAAAAAAAAATTACTTATAATAATGAATACAGATACATGTTATCGTATTATTGGTGATATAATCATAAAAAATAAATCATTAACAATAGATGAAATAAAAAAAGATAAAACAGTTGATATATCTTATGGAAATAGAAAAGCAACAAATTTTAATAAGATTGCTATCATTCAAACACTTCAACCACTTACATCTAAAACACCATATTTTGTTATCAAAGTTCAAAGATATGGTAAGATAATTCGATAGTCTATAATATTAAAAAAAACAAACAAACTTTAGATCCACATGCAATATTATCTATTGGTATTGCACCTTTAGATATTGATAAACATTCAGGTGAAATCTATTATTTATTATTATAATCTATTCTTATAATCGAATATAGGATTATATAATAATTCTCTTGGTTATCATAGTCATATAGGACGAATTTATACATCATGGAAAGCTCATGCAAATACACTTGGACGTCCATATGGTAACGATAATACAATAGGAATTTATGTTACATATTTTGGTGAACATCATTCGACAGTACTGATTTTTTATGATAATCTTCCAATTGCTACAAGGTAAAATTTTTGAAAACAAAATATATGTATAAAAATATTTATTATTGGATTTTTAAGATATCATTTTGAAGAAAATAAAGAACGATATTTTCCAACGATAACATTTTCAGGTGGACATATTGATATTTCAGTTCTTTGGCCAAATGCTATTGAACAATTACCTTCTATTACTGATGTATGAAATACATATGATTTATTTCATATCATGTGAAATAATTTTATAGATACCTGTCTGTCAATGGATTCGAGCATCATCAAGTAGTTATAATTTAAAAACAGGATATTTTGAAAATCTCTCAAAAGTACCAGATTCATCAATTCAATCACCAGTATCATTATGTAAATCATTTTCTTATTTTATTGTTACACAAGAAGAAGTTTCATCTCTTGATGGCAAAGGTGCAAGTGTTGGATTAGCTACATTTTCTGTAAGATTATATTTTATTAATAGTAATAAATATAAATTCATTTTTCTTTGTAGCCATTAAAACCAACAACAACATATTCATTAATGAAAGATTATTATACATGGTTTCCTAAAATAAAAAGTAACTCATTTTGTTTGAAAAAACACTTTTGATGTTGCAAGTATTGTTGAACCAGTAACTAAGTAAAAGTGTCAGTGAGCAGTTATAATGTCAAGTCTTCATCGATCTTTCTACTCCGAAATGTGATGAACCCTCAGAGATGGGCAACTTCAACTCCGGAGTTGACGCTTTTTTACCTGAAGTTGAAGTGGAGTTGGAGTTGCTTACCCTCGGAGTTGCCCATCTCTGTGAGCCCTTAAATGCAATAGATACGAACTAAAGAATACAGAATCAATTAGAGGAAATTACAGCCGTTGTTGAAATTCTTGATAGTAGATTTGTCAGAATGAGATTTAGATAATTATAATTAGTTGTTCAATGTTGATAAATTTTTTTCGTGTTTAGTGAAAGTGGGAAATACAATTGGTTGGGGTATTTTCTATGATGAAAATTGTCAAGATGATAAAATTGAACAATTATGTCTTGTTTTTGTTGTGTTTAATAATAAAATAATTGATGCTCTTTTTGTTTTACAACCTGAAGGTGGTTTTGTTCCAATTGTATTACTTCAACCATATGGTATAAAATAAAGTAATATAGAATTGAATTTAATATTTTGTAATTTCAGCAACAAAAGTATCAATTGAAAGAAAAAATGTATTGACAAAAGAAGAATTTAATAATCTTCAAGGATTATATATACAAATGTTAGGACCAGCAATAGAAATTTATCAAAAAGATAAAAATGAACGAAGTAAATCAAATGAATTCTTGTTGTTTAATGTAAGATAATTTAAAATTTTATCGTAGATTTATCCGAAGATTTATTTCGAAAAAGTGATGAAGTTTTGTTAAATAATAATGATTATGCTTGTCGAGTTTCTATTCCAACATCTAAAAATTCTCTTCATTATATACAATTTAATCGACCATTAACTTATGAACGACGTTTCTTTTTCGTTGAATTAGATAATATCAGTAAATTATCGAATTTTCTCTTGTATAAAAATCTAATTTCTAATCTAATTTTCTATTAGATCAACAATGTCAAGTAATAGTTGGTGTTGCTTCATCAAGAAATAAATTAAATGAAGCAGCACCAGGAATTCTTCAAGATACAGTTGGTTACAATTCTTCCACAGGAAAATTATATTCCAATCGTAAACATATAGGAAATATGCGTGGACATAGATGTCAAAAGGGTGATACAATGGGTGTTGAAATACAAGTTTTCAATAAAGATATGAGTGTTGTTTTATTCAGTAAAAATTTCCGGCCAATTGGTACACGTTATTTAACATTAAATGATCATTCAGAATATTTTCCAACAATATTTATTGAAAATAATCATTATCCTGTTGAATTATCAATTTATTGGCAAACACGAATTGCTATTCCACCGTATTTCTGTATGGTTCGTTAATTTTCTGTTTATTTAATTGAATAATTTATTGTTGATTTTATAGAACAATCCAGAAGATTGGTGTGTACCAAATGGAACAAAGATTGATTTACAAGAAAAAATATTCATTTTACCACAACATATTAATCAATCATTATGTATTCAAGCTCCGTACAGTTTAAATAAAAGTAACAACAAAAATATTTTTGTATAGATAAAGAATACTACCCATAGAGTATAAATATTTGAATGCCATTTCGTGTTCGATTCACTTACTGAACTTTTAGTTAGTAACGAAAGTTTTCCACTGAAATAAAGGACGATGCCATTTATATAAATAATAATATCGTTTTGTTTAGAATATAACCATTTTGAAATCATTCTTTTGGATAAAATAAGTGATGATGAACCACTACCTGGTATGTCTATCTATGATTATCATATTTAAACTTCTTTTTCTTGTATAGCTATTGCATTATGTACAGCTTCACCTATGAATTCATCGTTAATATCTGAATTTAAACAGGATTATTTACGTTTTTGGGCAACAGATGAAGGTTTTTAGAATTCTAGTAAATAGCATCAAAATTTATGCTTTATTTCAGGTGCAAAGTATTTAAATCAAGGTGATAAAATTGGTTGGAATATTTTATTTCCTGAAGAAGAAAATGAACAATTAATTATTTGTTATTTAACTATTAATGACACTGTTGGCTATGCTCGAGTACTTTATCAACCTATTGGTGGTTTTTATCCAGTTGTTATAGCTCCACCAAATGGTACTTTTCTTTTAAATTAATTGATCGATAAAATATAAAAATTTTCTTTCTATAGTCAATCGTATACAAATTAATTTGTCTGCTACAAAGATATTATCAGAAGAGTTTACTTCAGAACAAATTAAAGAACTCATTATGAACGCTCGACATCAAATAGAAGAAGAACAACAATTAACAAAACGTAAGACATGACTTTTACGATAAGAAAAAAAAACGTATAATTCAAAATTCTTTAGAATAATTTATATCTATTGTAAATAAATCAATAGTTTATTTTTCTGTATCTCTTTATATAACCATTGCATGTTTATATCTTTTATTATTTATTATAAAATATTCATTTTACTTTCTAATTTCTAGGTTTAATGGGAAAAAACAATAAGACGATAAATGAACAGTCATTTATTATGAATTCGACAAAATTACATGATAAACAATATAATACAAATGTTCCGATAGTGAAATCAGCAGCTTGTGTTATTCTTTGATTTTATAGTTTAAATAGATTTACTATGTTAAATTTCAGTTTTTTGTATTTATAAAAACAAATTACAGGTGATTATTTAGTAAATAAATGATAAAAAATTTTGTTGTACTTATTTAATAAGTGTCAGTAGAAAAAAATTATCGCTTAGATTACAGACAGTAATTAAGTTTTTTTTTCTTTGGCTGAATATTATTTGATTAATAATAATACAAATAAAAGTCATACTATATCATAAATTTTTTGATCATTCATTATCTGACAAATAATCGGTAAAAAGTATTACGGATAATGGTCATATTTTTTTAATCGGCTTAACGTTTTGACCATAATGAATCTGATGTCTTGCATATTAGTTATCGACAATACTTTTGATGAATCATCATTTGATAACTAATATAGAATGATACGATTAGATATATATCATTTCGAAAAGTTGACAGAACGAATCGACTACATATATTAGAATTCATTTTAGAACTGTTCAAAAATGATATCCATAATAAACTATCGTTATAACATAACCACGACAGTCGTAGCGTGAATATAAGAGAACTCCAACACTCAAAAAAAAATAAAATATTCCGATCTTGAGTTAACTCCAAGATGAAACTAGAGTACCAAATATGATGATTACAAAGTCATATTCTCAAGATTGCTTTGTCTTCACAGTACATTCAATATCAAATCATATACACAACTTCATTTTACGATATTCCAACTGAAACGAATTCCTTGTTCAAATCTGTCCTTCATGGAAGAATACATTTACTCACTGCTGACCTCTATCTTCTGGCCATTTCGTTATTTGTCCACTATATGGTCTTTGTTTTTTTTCGAACTTTTATGTTCACTTTTTTTTTCGAACGTTATTTGAAAATTTTTTATCATGACTGAAACATCTATTCGTGATGTTTTTCTTTCAATGCAATTACCACCTGTAGATGAAATAGTTGCTACTTCAAAAACTGGTCAGTTTTAGTATGTCTTTTATTCTTAACGAATATTTTTGTATATTTAGATTTTCGAACAATTCGTAAATCTCGTCGATCATGTTATCGATCTTGTATGTATCTTATTTTTCAGGATTGAATTCATTAAATTATTCTTTACTTAGATCATATTCCAAAAATTGATGAGACAACTGAAACTTCAAATGTACTTCTTGATGAATTAATAGATACAATTCAAACAAAAAATAATCATTTAAAAGAACATTTAAATCAAGAAAATCAAGCTATTGAAGATTTAATATGTAAAAAGTTAGTTTATTTTTCTATCAAAAATAAAATAAAATCCATTATTTTTCATTAGACGTGAAATTGATTTATGGCGACAATTAACTAATTTAGTAATACTTCCATCGAATCGAAAAACATCTCTTGATGAACAAATAACTGCTTGTAAATTATTCTTGTTTCGTATTTTGTTAAAATTATTTTAAAATTTTAGATGATTTAAGCGAAAAGAAAACAATTGAATTTCGAAAAGATTCGAATGAAAATCCACAATTAAAAGCTTGGAATTATATAGGTCGTCATATAACAGATGATTTAGTAGAAAATATTCTTCGTGATTCGAGTAATAATAATAATTCGAATAATGCATCTAATGGCCATCATGCAATAAAAAAAGCTCGACGAACAAATGATGTAACACAAAAAATACGTCCAAGTACAGGAAAATCAACAGCAATTGGTACTAGTTTACAATCAAAAACCAAACGAGCAACACGTCGTAGTCGAATGTGAACATTTTATGTATTTCTTTCTTGTTATTCTTGTTGTTGTTGTTGTTGTTGTTGTATAGAATACTTAATACATTGTAAATAAATAGAAATATTCTTATTTGTATTTCAGATTGAACTATTCTAGAAAAAACAAGAAATGGCAAAAGCACCACTTAAACAATTATCTGTTAATACTTTTGAAAGTAATCGAATTATTTCACCAAAATCATCGTCGAAAAAGGTAGAAATATTACTCTTAGATGTTTCACAAATGATCTATTTTCTTATTATATAAAAAAAACTTGAGTATACATAATAGTATGAGAAGCGAAGGAAAGTTTAAGTAATAATCTACTCATCTCAATTTCGTTAGTCTTAAAACTTATTACAATCATTTTTCTAATTTGAAAAAAAGCTCAAATACGATGCAACTAGAAATTTGCGGGCCCAACACTTGAATCTGGGGCTATATAATGACCTTTGCTATGTTGACCTTATTCAAGAAAAATGAGACAAAAAAAGTGCTAATCGCCCACTAAACAAATTTAAAAACGAGTATTGAAAAACTGTTTTAGAAATTCACTGAATAATTTTGGATTAACTGTCTCTAAGACGATATTAGAGATGAGCGGGACTAGTTCTGGTCCCGGTCCCGGGACCGTGACTAAAAAATTAAACTTTACTGGGACCGCAGCCGGGACCGGGATCAAAATAAAAGCTTTACCGGGACTAGTACCGGGATCGAAAAAAATTACCAGAACCGAGGCCGAGACCGGAACCTAAAAAGGTTGGTCCCGCACATCTCTACTATATAACAGAAGATAGAAAGTTTTTCTTTTTACTTATTTTATAGAATGCACCTATAATTCATGATACACAAACAATAAAGAAAAGAAATGCTGTTTGTAAACAATTAATACCTATTGAAGAAGCAAGTATTGATATACCATCAATTATTAAAGCTGGTTCACGAATGTCAACAAACGAATTTGAATCATATGTTCAAAGTATGTTACTTTTCGACTGTATAAGATAATATAAATTTTTTCTTATTATTTTAGAAACAGCACCTGAATCTTATTGGCATATTATGGCTGAACATTATAGAATTAAACTTGATGATGTCACACGTGAAAATCAACAAGTAAGAAATATAAACAAGAATTAATTTATTTTAATGAAATATTTTCTTTTTTTTTGCTTAAGCTTCATGAAATTGTTGATGGTTTAAGTAAAGATAATGATAATTTACGTGCAGTTGCGGATCATTGTGAATATTTAACTGATATTATTGAAGTAAAATACATATTTACCTTAATTTAAATCTTTAGACTTTGTTTTCTTTTTTAGAAATTAACCAGTGAAGATGATAATGATAATGATAATGCAAAGAAATCATCAGTTTGTGTACGCTTGTTTTGATTTGGAAAAAATAGAAATATGTGAACTATAGATCCTTATATATATATATAGATATAAATATTTTGTTGTGTTTATTTTGTGTTTCATTATTGTAAATAAAATGAAAAAAACTAATCGATGTCGTTCGATAAACACATAGATTAAAAATAAAGGTGAAATTAATTTAGAAAATTGTATTCATATATTAAAGTATTAGAACATCGAAAGAAAAATATGATGTAAGACTCATCATGAACTATCTAATAAATGAAAAGTCATAAAATAGTGGTTAAAAGCGATTCGTTTATCTTGATTTAAATGGATTCTTACAAGCATAAAAAAAATCAAAGGTTGAATATTGATTTTGACGAAACTACGCTTGCCCATAGAGAGATAATGGTGTTTATGTAGCAAACAAGCAGTTCTAAAGAGCGGTTGAAATCTTTATAATTACAAAAAGATCATATTTACTGCTGTTTTATCTGGTGGGTGGGCTGAGTGAGCAGCGCTCACCCGCCATTTCGATTCACACCCTCCGAAAAAATAAACCTGGACAAAAAACTATTTATTATATTTTCAAAATAAGCAAAGAAACAACAAAATATGATTATATTTTCTTTCTTGAGTTTTATTCAAAAAATATGATCTCTTTTGATCTATTTGAAATATAATACAATCTGACAAATAAAAACTCATTTCGAGTTTTATACATATACATTAAAAAAAATATACACATTCACATATCAAAGTTCGTTTTTCAAACATTATTTCAATTGGGTTGACTATCATCAAGAAGACTATCATGTTCATGAGTAAATGACTAAAATATATAAAAAATATATTAAATATGAAAATGAAAAGACAAATTACATTAAGAACATTTTGTAAATAATCACAATGACTGGATACTTTACGAAGTTGTTCATTTTCTTTACTCAAATCTTCAACAAAATTGTGCAACTACAAAAACGAAAAAAAGAATAAATCAATTAGAAATAATTTTATTGAATGTACTTGTTGATTCTCATTAGTTGTTTCTTCATAAGCTTGTTTTCGTCGTTCAGTCATTAATTTCCAATATGCTTCCGAAGCTTCATCTACAATAACATAAAAAAACGATCAATCTTTTTTTTTCTGGATTATTATACTTTGCATAAGCATTTGAACAATTTCTCCAGCAGCATTATTATTTTTTTCTAATGCTTTAGCCATTTGTTCAGCATAATTAGGTGTATTTGTACCGATATCACGATTAAATTGTATTTGATCCGTATTAATACCGATATTTTGTGTTGTATTTATTGTTGAAGTTTTTGCTTTTTGATTTGTTTTTCGATTATTTTCAATTGAATGAAGTAAATGAAGTTTCGAAGGCGATTTTTGTGTCATAATTAATCTAGAAGAAATCATCAGTTAGATCGATAGAATTTTTTGATATATGTTCTATTCGAAATATTTCTAAAACAAAGTGACATTGATATATCAATCGCGAAATATGACAATAGATGTCAGTAAAAGAAATGTTTTATATCATTGGATTTGAACATTGCTTATAGATTGTGACATTTTATTTATTTTTCTAAATAAATAGATTATTAATATGATATCATCGTCAAGTTTATTAGAATCTCGTTTAAATTCTTTAACAAATCGTTCTGATCCTGATACAGAATCTAAAGTACGTTCGTCTATACGTGCTATTAATGAAACGATACAATCGAATGCCAATGAACCATCATTAGCTTTCTATCGAATACAAGTAAATAAACAAGCAAAATAATTTCTTTTCATAAATATTTTTTGTTTTTATAGGAACATGTACGAAGAACTTTACCAACAATGATACAAAAACGAATTGAACTTGAAAGTTTACATGATCGTATGAATGGTCTTATATTTGATGTTGAATATAGTGTTGATGCTGTTAAATCACTTGGAAATAGTGATGAACATTTTAATGTAAATATATATATTTATTATTTCTATGAAATTCTAATTTGAAAATAATTCTATTTAGAATATTGCAACTTATTTAGAAAAATCTGTATATATTAGTAAACAAATGAATCTCTTAAAACAACAACAAGTTCAACAACAACTACTGGAGAAAAAAGATGCATCATAGAAACAAAAAATCAAAATATTCTCTTATTTCTAGTCATTATTAATATATATATTTTTATTCTCTTGTATTGTTTCGTTATTCAAATCTCGATCAAAATTTATTGTACAAAAAAATTATTCATTAGACTTGAAAAATAATAATTAAAAAGTGATTGTGACGTTACGAAAATATTTAAAACAGTTTCTATTTACTATTAATCGATTTACAATGAGTCATCCTTAATGTGATTGAAGAAAAATCATTATATACATATCATTGAAACACGAGATACGACAGTCCGATGAGAAGTTTCGAAGAATGGATTGGATCATTAGTTCATCCAGGATCTCCAATTAAGGAGGGGCTAGGGGGTCTAGCCCCCGCAAAATTCGAAAAACTGTCTGTCTTTCTGCCAAAAACTTTTAAAGTTTTGCTGAAAACTTGATCAGAAATCTGGTTTATATGCTATTTTCGCCTGAAACTCCAATAAAAACACTTTACTTTCTGGCAAAATTTCTGGGCTTTCTGCCAAATTTTATCCCTCCCCCACTTTTGAAAACAATCGAGAACCCTGAGTATATCGTTGATACCAAGTGTCGATAAATTTAAAGCTTACACTTTTCTATTATTCGAGATTACTAGAAGGAATCATAGTGATATAAAGACTATAATTCACCACTATGTACATTCTATTCTCTTAATTCATTGTATAGCAGCAGTTATGGTAATATATTTATTCACTATTTCAATAGATATCTTTTCAAAAATTTATTTATAACTTAATATGAATTCTTAAAGAAGAAATTAAACCATATCGTATAGTATATATATATAGGTAAAATTATTCAATAAACAAATCTCCACAAAACAGAAAATACAGATAAAACTCTATCATTATGTATACATATATTTTAACAACATCATCGTCATCGATCACATAGAAACAAATGAAAATCTGACATCAACTTGAATCATAAAACTCGCTTTCAACTAATTTTTCTCGGAATAATTTATACCAAGCTAGAGTATGTTGAGTTAATGTTAAATTATCAAGTTGAATAAATGCTTCTCCAATACATTGATTTTTTTCAAATTTACCAGCACGTTGCCATACTGTTACTTGAAGACGACGACCTTAAATTATTTAATGAAAATTATAATTAATAGAAAAACAAAAATTTACCCATAACATTGCAAGCATTATATTTTAATTTTGCATGATATTCAGGATTGTAATTTGCTTTTATAGTAGCTGTCTTACGTTTTTGTACTCGACGTGTACCCGTTCGAAGATATCTATAAGTAAAAAAATTTATCGTAGTGTAAAAAAATACTTTTTATTTAGTTCGTATCCTAAGTCTGATTTTTATATATATATTTGTTGTTGAGTGATAGAAGCAATGAGTATTACTTTTTTAGTATTAGTCTTATACAATATTCCTTTTCGAATTCTATACTTTGATGTTTTATTCAAACAATCAACATATAAAAGAATAACTAAAAAGTTTCCAAGAATAACTTACGTTTTAACATACGTATCAGGTGGAATATCATCAGTTCTAGCTGCATGATGATTATTATCATTATCAATAATAACTCGTTCTAGTCCTTTGGCACAAATAACATCTATTTCTAATAATCCTTTGGTAACAATTAAACCAAGTTGAATTTGTCCCATATATATGTAATCATTAATCATATTTTCATAATTTCTTGGTGTAACTTGTCCGGGACCAACAGTATGTGTTTGAACATTATTATTTTCATTTATTTTATCTTGTTCTTGTTGGTGTAATTCTGATAATGTGAAATATCTATCAATATCATCATCACTTTCACAATTGGATGCTGCGGAAGATTTTCTTGAACCAGATATGGATGAATGTCGTGATGAAGGTATATAAGGTAACATTAATTGTCCAATAGGCATTTGTTGTAATGGTATTGGACGTATCAATGTTTGTTGTTCTTCAGTATGTATTGTTGGTGGTGGTGGTATAATACTTTGTCGAGGTGATTTATTCGTACTATTTGTTGTATTATCAGATGAAATACCAGCTGTTTGATCAATATCATCTTCGCTATCAACATTTGTATGTCCTTGTGATGATAATTTTCTTGATGCTGGACTTTCTGATGATGTTTTCGGTGTTGTTTCACTGTAACGTCTTGGATGAACATCGAATAATTTTAAAATTCCTTTCGATATTCGTCGTTTAAGTTTAACTGATTGTACAGTTATTGTTGATGTACCTTTTAAATGTTGTTCTTCAATATCATCATCATCAATACTTGTCATTACAATCGATGGTATTGTTGGATTATTAGCACTTGCACGTTGTAATTTTTTTTCTGTCGTCGAAGTTCTTCGATTTGAATCAATTTTATTTGTTGCAGAACGATTCAAAGCACGCATTAATAAATCTGTAGATGTTCGTGTTCGTTCTTGACGTTTATTTGATGTTGCTACTGCTGCTGATGATGATAATAATGGTGGCATTTTACGAAAACTATCACCACTTTCAGCTGATGATGATTTAAATGTTACACTTGATGTTGATGGTTTACGTGTTTGACGATCACGTAATTCATACCAACGTGGTTCATCTTCAAGATTAGCTTCACTTAATGGTAATTGTACCATACCAAGAAATTCATCTGTTTCATCTGTACTACTATTAATCGTTGTTTGTCTATCTGATTGATATTGTTTTTTATCCCAAAGTAATACTTCAAGATGAAGAACATCAACTGTTTCAACTTCATGAAAAACGAATGTTTCATTATAAACTGGATTCGATGAATGTATCACTTTTGTTTCAAACATATCAAAACCACGATCTTCAAAAAGCATTTTACCAGTTAGAAATGTATACGGTTGATCACCATTCGATCGTAATGGAAGATTACTTGCTTGAATTATTGTTAATGCTAATTTCATATCTTCAACATCATGCCAAATTTGAGCTTAAAACAAAATAAAATAGTTTTGGTCACTACTGTTAACGAACATAAGTATTTTACTAATTCCTATTCTTTAAGTACAAAGATATCCATAAATTTCTAATGACAACTCTATGGCGAATATGACTAATACAATAAACAAGATTCGAATTAATTACTATTATTTTTATTCATATAATTCTACTCAAGTAGGACGTTCTGTCTTGATATAGAGACTCACAAGCTTTCAACGAATTGTAAAGGATTCCAATCAAAAATTTTCTATGAATATAAAGTAATTTATTCTTTTTATTGAAAGAAGAATTAAATAGAGTTTTAAATCACAAGAGAAAAGATTCTTTTTTTTCTTTCCTAGAAAAACGATACATGTGAATTCCCTAGATATTTTAATAATGACTTCTATTTCGAGTAAGATGATTATTTGATTTAAATATCTTTTTGTTGTATTTGCAATTAAAATAAAAAGAATCTATTCTAGTACTCATAAGGATACTTTAGATATAAAAATAAACTCGTTTACCTAGAAGTCTTCCACGATTAATTAAAATTGGTTTAAGTTCTTTAACATTTGGTACTTCAAGTGTTTCAACAGTTTCATATAATTCACGTTTTTGTTGTTTAGGAAATGATGATGAAAATGATGGTGGTAATGGCGGTAAATTTCGTCGTTTTCGTGTTAATGATGATGCTAATCGTGGTACTGTTTCAAAATGTCTTGAAATTTCAATTGATGATAATGTTTGACCACCATTAATTTGTAATCGAACATTATTATGTTGAACAACTAATTGTACAATATCACCACAATAATCTTGTAAAATTCGAACTTCTTCATATGTTGATTCAATTAATGAATGTCCATTAAATTCAAGTATTTGATCACCTACTTCAATATTACCTTGAACATCAGCTGGACCACCATATAAAATATTTGTTACAAAACATCCTGAAACAAGAAATATACCGATATTTATTCTTTAAAGAAGTATTTTTTTTGTTCTACGAACCAAGACTACCATCTTCACATTCTTGTCCACCTACAATACGCATTCCAAGACCATTTGTTCGTATGGATGTATCATTTTTATCACGATGTAATAAAATTCTATGTGGATTCGATGGTGGTGTACGTGCACGTAATTTCGAACTTTCTTCCGCATGTAAAAAAATATTTTCACATGTTTCAATTGTTTTTCTTCGATCACCACCGGATAAACCTGATGCTGATGAAGGAATAGGTATACCAAGTGTTGATGAAGCATTTGGTATTTGTGATACAGCAAATTCTGAATCAGGATTACAACCATAATAATAATCTTCAGATAAAGTTTGTCGTCGAAGTTTAGGTGGTTTACTTAAGATAAAATATATTTTAAAAAATTTGTTACTAATTATAGTCTATGAAATTATATCTTATATTCTATTTAAGCTTCACTGTTCATGTCACACATTTATTCCTATCTAGACATTCCTAGTGTAATTCTTTTGAGATCAAAATATCTGCTAAATATAATATATGATTAGTTCATATTCTTTATAATTGATATATATATATATAATTACCTCAATGCAATTTCAATACTGTTATCTTGTCTAATAATAATTTTTCTTGGCACTTTGGGTACATGTTCACGTTCCAGACTTATCGAGAAACTATCACCTTGTTGTTGTTTAGATATTTTTGAATATAACATACGTCTTCGAACAATATCCGATAGATCTTGTGCTTTACGTACAATACATGGATAATCGAGTGAACGTTGTGGTAATAATGAAGTATTATTAACGACAAGAAATGATTTTTGTCGTGTTAAATTTGATATATCAACTGATTTAGCATTTGGTGATTGATGTGTATATAATAATTTTGTATGTATTGAACGAGTTTTTAATGATGAATCAGAATCAATACTTTTCGAACGATTTGAACGATTACCAAGAGAATTTTCACGTACAGGTTGAGATGGATAATCACCTGATGAATACATAGATGATGATGTATATATAATTTCATCGGATATATCTATTTCATTATTATTAAGATTATTATCAATCGATGAAATAACATGATTGGAAGGAATTCTTGGTAAACGTCGAGAAGAACGTCGTCGACGTAATGAATTATCTTGAAAATTATGATTTGAAAAATCAACTTGAGTACTATTCATCATTGCTATTAATGATGATGATGAATTTTGTTGATCGGAATATGGAAATGAATCTGTTAATGATGTTGTATTATTAAAATTTTTATACGGATCATTATCTTTTACTGCATCTACATTGTCAAATGTAGTTGTCCATTCATAACCACGTTGCATTAAAGCTCGTTTACGTGCCCATGTATCAGAATTTCGAAGTCCTGAACGACTTTTTCGTCTAATATGATTATGATTTGTTATTATTGTTGAATTTCTCTCAGTTATTAACGGTATAGTATTATTATTTATTGCTTGCGTTGTTATCATTGAAGTAGTATAACAATCCATTGCCTGAAGAAAAAAGATATAATTCCTTCTTTCTTTCTTTTTTTTGTTTAAGGTTATTTTCAAATAAATGATCTATGATATTTAAGATCATGTCTTTGTATGTTAGACAAGTGTAGCCTAGTTTTGATTGTCTGTCAATGACTATATACTAAATAAAGAGCGGAAACAAGAAATACTAATCTTCGATGATTATATAGATTGAGATACATGCACATTACCTTGTATTATTATTTTCTTCTCTTTTGTTTCCGCTTTTTTCTATATATATGATTATTTTCAAGGAAGCATCTTTACAATTTACTGCTCATCTTCTATCTTTATCAAAGAATGAGTTCTTTTATCTATATGTCAATCATGACAAGACACACTAACAAGCATAACGAAGCACTCATTAGTTTAATGATTCAATCTATGTATGTATATATTTAATGAAGTACATTACTCGTAGGATTATTTTAAAAATTTTCATTTTTTTTTGTATTAAAATATTAGTGAGACTTACCATACTAACATCAATATTTGCTTCTGGTGAAGCAAGACTATCACTACGTTGTTGTGTAGGAATTGCCATAGGTAATGAGGTTTTTTGATGTACTAATGATATCACAGGTTTTGCTGATAAGCTTAAACGACGATGTCGTTCATCATAAGTTAATCCACGATATTGTTGAAAATCATCATCATCATCTTGGTCATCGACTATACCCGGATTACTACTATCAATATTTGTTTCAAAACTTTGAGAATAAAATTCACTAGCTGTATCACATGGTTGTTCCGATGTTGTATCTTCAAATGAAGGATCAGTTACTATACTTGATGTTGTTGGTTGTGGTTGAAGTGGTGGAGGTGGTGGTGGAGGTGGAGGCAAAGGTAGAGGTGGTGGTAGAGGTAATGGTTGTGGAAATGGAAATACTTGCGGTGGACCTTTTGATGATGTAACTTCACGTATGAATGATATACGACGATTTAATTTCGGTGATGTTAATAAACTAGATGATGTATCAGAAAGTGCAGGACTTGGTTCTGGGATATGATCAAACGATGATGAATCTGTTTGATGTATATCAAGTAAACGTGGTGATGGTGGTGAATTCTGATGACTCGTAGGACGCCATAGACGTGCAAAAAAATTCGTTGATTCAGTTAAAATTGTTGATTTACGATCATTTTGTGGCGATGGAGATGGAGATGAAGGTGTTGATGTTGAAGTCGTTTGTGCTCGATAAGCCGCTAGTTTTTGTAATAAGCGTACTGGTGAATGAGCTGGAATCTCGTCTTCAATAACATTCCAAGAACCTCGAAATAGATTCATTGTAAAAAAGATTGAATGACAAGAATCAAAAACAAAAGCAATGAAATTCTGAATAGCACGATCTTTTTCTTGTAATAATAATAAAAAAGGAAAAGATAGAAACAAGTAGTCTTAGAAAAAAAAACTAGTCAAAACTATAATTTATTCTTCTTTTTTTTCCTTTTTCTTTTCCTTTTTCATTTAAATGACATTTATACATGATATTGATGCTCTTTTCTTCTTCTTCTTCTTTTTCTGCTTTTTTTTTTGTTTTAATTGTAATCTATATTTCCCTCTAGTTAGAACATACCAGATTTCCTGACTACTTCACGACGTACAATACACATTCGACAACGCCATTTTGATGTATGTGTTTGATTTTCAGTATTATTTCCATAATGTATTTCAATTAATTCTGGTGACGTATAATTTCCACAACGTCGACAAATAGGTCGATGACAATCAGCACATAATATAGGTGGTGATAACGGTGTATTATTTGATTGTATTTCAATATTTGAATAACAAATATAACATTGTATTATATCAGATGACGATAAAATTGTTTGAGATAATTGAACAGGTGATGTATTAAATGAATTATTTAATGGACTTGTACGTTGTCGTTGATAATCACTATCAATTGTTTGTTGAAGATGAACCATTGTACGACGTAAACCAGATAAACGTTGATTTTGTTCATTTTCAATAATAGCTTGTTTTTGTAGAACAATTTCTAATCGTTCAAGTTCATCAGGTAATAATGTAGAGAAATCAGGAGATGGAGGTCGAATAATTGCTCCGGTTGTTGGTGTTGCCTGAGGCTGCATGTTGATGCGATTCGACAGCAACGTCACACCCACTTGATAACATCAACATCAATATGCCTCAACTCTTAAAGGCATACACAGACGAACGAGTTCAACACGTCTTCCTCTTGTTTTTTCTCTCTTCTTTAGTTTTCTCGTTCTTCAAGCGTAATTTGAAAAAAAATGTCGTATTATGAGTGACACACGGCATCGTTCTCAAGAGAACTGAAAAGATCCTCTTTCTCGTTGCCGTGTGCTCAAAATAATAGTAGCCGTATGTGTCTATAGCGAGCACGCATACACATAACGTAGAGACAAGAGATTGAGCGTTAGCTATCTCTATCCTCTCATTCCTCGCGCGTTCTTTTTTTTTTTCTTTCTTTAAATATTACAGTAACGATAGCAGTCATAGCAATGACAGCCGTTATAAACCGAAGAGAGAGAGAAAGAGGGAGAAAGACTTTCATTTACATTCGTGTCTATCATTATGTATGTCATCGCTACTGTTATTAAAAGATATAGAGATTAGTAAAAATTTTGTCAATTAACAAGACAATATTATTGGATCATGATGTGATGAAATGCGAGTTTTTCACTTGACTAAAAAAAAGACAAACATGATATTAAATATAAATAAGATTAGTCCAATAATAATTTTCTTCTTTTTTCTGTTAACTTATAAATACTATTTCATGACTATGTAGATAAATATGTTAATGAGAATCAAAAAGTATATGAGAAAATTTTTATTGATTGAAAACATTTATATTACAAAGTCTCTCTATGAATAGAAAAAAATAATTTATTTTATAATCACAGTTAATTACGGAAATGTTTAAAGATTATCAATATTTAATTATTTATGTAGCGATGAATGAACATCATTTATCATATTCATAGATAAACATATGTTTTTTATTTAGTAATTTGTTTGTCTTATTGATGAAAAATAATATTTATTGTCAACGATCATACAATCTAAAACAGTATTTTAACAACGGAAATAACTATCCATATGTTGTTAATACTCATTTTTATATAACTTTTACCATAATAAGTATTGATGAATGCATTCTTCAATTTTAATTGAAATATTCAATATAGAATTTTCAAGTACTATTTAGATGTAGAAACATTCTTCTTCTTCTTCTTTTTTTCGCGGTTTAATTATTTTACAACGATGATGGAAATAAAAATGTCCGTATTAAAGCCAGAGCATACGGAAGAATTAATACATGGAATTTAACTTATTTATAATGAGAAATTTGAGAGATATAAACTTAGAAATAATACTCTAAATATTAATAGATAAATCCAGGCACTTTCTAATCTTTCTAAACAATCAATAAATTCTCACTATTATATTATTAATTGTTAAAATGATTTTCTATTACTTTGTACCTATGTATTTATGTTTGAAATACTGAAGTAATATTGTTAAGTAATGTACTTCACAATAATATGTTTTGAACATCATATTGATGTAGTGTCTATTAATAATAATAATTTCATATAAGTGTTCATATATTCATTGAGTTTATTAAAAGTCTTTGATCATTTTGTTTATTTCCAATAACTATAGTTAATGTTGAATAACATTTTAGTAATAGTAAATTAATGATCCTGTCAAAATATACACGAATGAATAATAGTTTATTTATATCTTTTCTATATTGTTTTTCATACTTGATTTAATCTTACGATATAAATAAATAATAATGAACAAATGTGCTTTACAATTCACAAAACACGGCAATCTAACATTGTTTCTCTTTTTTCTCTATGTAGATATTCATTATGTTCAAGTAGAGTAATAAAGGACATTTTTAAATATGTAAATTCTATTGAATGGAATATCTTTAATAAAAAAAACACTCTATTGCGGAAAACTCATCATCCTGCATAATTTTCTTTTTTTTTGTCAAACAATGAGTTATAAATAGATTGTATACTTGTTAAGTTGACACTTCACCAAGTTAAAATTGAGAAATATATCCTAATATAAAATTATTCTAAACGATTGTCAATTATATTCTTATAAGTAATAACTATCACGAACACATCCGAGAATAGGTATACAAGAGTAACATCGTAATCTGTATGTCCACTGTATTATTCAATGATTTAACTACTTTGAGCTAGGATTTTGGAAGGGGGGCGGCCGATTTTGGCTAAAAGCTATTTGTTGGGTTCAATCGAAGTAGTGTGAACCTATTTTTGCTGTAAAAGGCAAAAAAAAATTCGGAAGGGGGCGATCACCCCCTCTTTTATCCGCCACTGACTTTGAGTATCATATGTTTGTATTAGAATTCATCAACTTAGAACTTTATGTACTAATTTAGTTTGATAGAAAAAAAGAACGATGCTTATTTATTATTTCTACTCATGTAATAGTTTACTGAATAATTTTATTAATATGAATGTTAATTTTAATTGGATACGATTAAATTCTGATTATATATAATATTTCTATAGAATCTCTTCTAGTAATATTGTTGACTGAATATATATTATTATGCAGGAAATTGAGTTCGATGAATAAATATGAGCAGAAAACATTGTGAATGCCAAACCAAAGTTTAATTATAAACAATCGATGTAATTTAAGTCAGTGTGATATATTTTAAATTGAATAACTATAAGTCAAAAATATATAATATATCTCACACAAACAATAATAAAAAAGTCATTGCATGTATATGATATTCTATACTTAACTTGTAAAAATCATATCAAGACAGTAATATAAATTTTTTAATAATTTTACAGATCAAACGAATGACAGTTATTTTTTTGAATAAAAACAAATCAGACTTGTTCTATATAATTTATACATCATCCTATTTTTTAAAATTTGAAAAAAGTATACGCATACTTTTTTTCTGTTATAGATGTCACTCGTTATCAATTTTGTGTTTCCTAAAAAAATATCATTATCGATTGGTTATAGGCATTTGATTGTTTTTTTTCTTTCGGGTTATTCGTTTGAAAAAAAACATTAGAAATTTTGATCTAAGTATCATTCCATAGGAAATTATGTCAATAATAGCAAATTCAACAAATAATTCTACTCAATTAGTTCGTACAAATTGGCCAGGAACGACTTCTACAGTATCACCTACAATAAATTCCAATTCTAGTACAACTAATCCTCCTTCTATTTCATCATCTATATCCCAAGAAAATAAGACTAATGATTCTCCATTAAAATCTTCAACATCAATTCAAAATGATGATCCCATGTCTGAATCAATAGCATTTGATCGAGGAATACTCACATATCCATTAACAAATTATACTTTTGGTACAAAAGAACCATTATATGAACGTGATAATTCTGTTCAAGCACGATTTCAACGTATGAGAGAAGAATTTACGACATTAGGTGTAAGACGTAGTGTTGAAGCTGTCTTGTTAGTACATGAACATAATCTACCTCATATACTTCTCTTACAATTAGGAACAACATTTTTTAAATTACCTGGTAAAACAAAATAAATATTAAATAGAAATAAATTATTTAATCTTTTTTTTCCATTTAGGTGGTGAACTTAATCCAGGAGAAGATTCAATTGAAGGTCTCAAACGTTTATTAAATGAAACAATAGGTCGAACAGATTCTACTGAAAAAAATAATTGGGTTATTGAAGATGTAATTGGTAATTGGTGGAGACCGAATTTTGAAGCACCAAGATATCCATATATTCCTGCTCATATAACAAAACCAAAGGAACATATTCGGTAATTATAATTATCTTCCTTTGTATTCTCGAATAACAAAATTTTTTGTTCGTTTAGTTTATATCTTGTTCAACTCGGTGAATCAGCTATGTTTGCTGTACCACGCAATTATAAATTAGTAGCTGCACCTTTATTTGAATTATATGATAATGCATCAGGTTATGGACCAATTATTTCAACATTACCACAAACATTAAGTCGATTTAATTTTATTTATAAATAAAATTTGTTTTTGAGAGAAAAAATAAAATAAACTTTTTTGTTTTGTGTTTTATTATCCTAGTCGAAAATAAAAAAAAAACTTTCAAGGATCATAGTTGTATATGTATGTGTGTATTCATCTGTATTTAAGTCAGATAAAAAAAAAGACAAAGAATGTTTTCTGAATGTTTGTTTTTTTTATTTTATGTCATTTTTTTTTGATATTATACAACGGTAAAAAAAACCATGAATTTATTTAGTTGTGATACAATGAAAAATAATAATATTAAGGTTCAAAAAGTTCATCATCAATGTCTTCTTCTTCATTATCATCGAGAGGAGTAGCATCTTTCTCTTCAGAATTTTCAATTGGAGTTTTAATAGATTTTTTGTCGTTTGTGCTTAAAGCAACACCACGAGGTTTTTTACGTATAGATTTTAGTTTATATGCAACTTCTTCATTATCATCATTTTCAATTTTTGGTTCAGTTGTAGTTGGAGGTAAAGGTGCTCGTATAGGTATAAATCGATTATCTTCTTCATCTTCATTTGCTAGAATTGGTTTCTTTGCAGGACGTCGAAAAATAGGTATTGCTTGATTATCTTCTTCTTCATCTTCTTTTTTAGTTTCTTTTGTAATTGATGGTTTCACTCGTGTACGAAGAAAATCATTTAATGCATGTTGATTACCCATACCACCTAAATGATGTTCATTCACATCATCTAAATCATATTTTTTCCATTTATCCATTGGACGAGTAAAACTATCATCAGCTGGACGTTTTTTAAATGTAATTGCATTGCTTGGAATTATTGGATTTTGTTGGGATGTTGAAGGAGTTTCATCATCAATTATACATATAGGATTTTGAGTTTTTTTCTGTACATCATGTTGTTTTTCAAGATTTGCTAATTTATCAAATACATCACTTGAACGTGACTTAAAATCAGTTGTTGAATTAGTTAATTGATAGAAATCTAATTTGAATAAACAACATATTAAAATAGAAATGTAAAATGAACGATATCAAATGTCCTTAAACAAGTTTAACAGACTTTGTGGATAACGTATTGATTGTCTGTGGTAAATAGTTGTCCTTCAACAAAAATAGCTTAGAAGCAATTCGAATTTCTTCCGAGGACTACGTCTATTAATCGTTGTAGAAAGATATTAGATCAATGAAAGTATACTCAGATTATACACTATACCAGAGGGTTGAATGTTTCTCATCTTGCAATACATACAAAATGCTAATTACGGTTTTCCCAGCAATTTTCAGATGAAATAGTATTTCACAGTAGTTTTTGTCATAATTATCTGATATCGTACTTATGTATTCTTTTCCGATAAAAAAGTTTTGCATAGTTAAATAGCTCAGATTAGTTCCAAGCAAAAACAAACTTCTCTCATTCAACGTTCTCTGAGTATGATCTCTAATGATTATGAATTATCGTTACAATAACGATGGAATTTCTATTCTTTCTCAAAGAATTTTTTGAGCAAAATGAATACCTGACATATTGTTATTTTTTTTTCTTGTTAAAGATGATCTACAATTATGAAATAAGCTATGTTGGTTTTTAAAAATAAAAAAAAAACTTTCGATTCTTGTTTGTTTTCCTAATTTATTCAAACAAACAAACAAAAAGTAATGGTATAATCGACTTTATACTACGCGGTACCGAAAAAAAATACGGGATGCTTCATAGAAAAAAAAATGGGAAAGGTAATGGATTTAATAGGATGATTTATTGTCTATTTATCATCACCATGGGCTTCATTTTCTGGTGGTTTTTCATCAGCAAATTGACTTGGTAATTTTCGCTGACATCGAGTATATTCCCAATTAGCCCATGTAAAAACTCCGTATCCGAGTAAGATATTTGGCACCCATATTGTGAAAAGTGTCTTAAAAAGTCGAGAATAATAACGATATGAAACATCACCAAAAACACCAGCATATGGATTTTGTTCATATGCTGAAAGAGTATATTCAACCTAAAAATATTATTAGCAAATACTAATGATGAAAATAAGATTTTACTTTGCCACGTTGTTGACCAATTCTACCCCAGGTCATACCTAATCGACTTAATGAGAGACGCATTTTGATGATATCTATTCAATAGAAAAATCTACAATCAATTGATTATGATTATTCAATCTGATAGAAGTAAATAAGACAACATTATGCTGTTAGGTTATTATTATAAATAAACTATTTGTAATTTGAGTAAATCAATCTACCAATCAGAATAAAAACTACAAATAGAGTTCGCTATATGTCAATAGTAGAAGAGTATTTACAATAATTGAAAGCTATAAGATGTTAAACAGTAATTTCTTAAATATATATCAGTCATATTTGAAAAATTTTCTCAATTTGCTATCTAAAGTTACGATATATTACTATTATGTATACTATTTACAACGAAAATATCTCAAATGTTCAACTTTATATTGATTCACCTATTAGAATCTATTGAGATAAATCCAAATAGGTAAAACCTCTCTACTAATAAGCCATCGCTCCGATTCTTTTTACCCTTCTTGTCAATCGTAATAGACTCTATTGAATGAGATAAAATCATCATGAGGGTGTGGGTGCAAGGTAAATACAGTATTCACACCACACCCACACCTACCTTCAAGATCACGAACAAAAATAGGTGAATCTCTCTCTTTCTAACGTTTTATCTTTAGAATTCGTCCAATTTAAATTCTATCTTTACTATTTCGAAATAAAAGAAAAGAGGAAAACTATAGTTACTTTGAAGATAATCACGTATAACGAATAAATTTATTATGAAAATCTAATAAAAAGATTTACATTGTTGAAAAAGGGTAAAGAAGAGAAAATATTTCATTTATATTTTAAATTTCATCTACAAAATAATATTGATCGAAATTAAAAGAATTAAATGAATTCGAAATGTAGAAACATATCAATAAAAATCTTATCTTTTGTCTAAATTTCCATTTTAATTTTGATATAGAAATAATGAAAAACATTTCGTCTTTTTCTTATTATTATTTTGAAATAATTTTGAGAAGAATAGAAATTTATAGATTCATTATTAAAATATTTCTTTAAATAAATTCAGATTTTATTAATTTCATCTTTCTAGATAATTCTATTAATATTTAAAGAATTTTAATATTCTATATCATCTTCTCTCATACACAAAACATTTAATGATTTTCCAATATTTTAAATAATATTAAAGTTTTGAATGATAAAAAAATTAATATTTAATAATAATTGAAATGATTAGTACCAAAAATTATTTCAAAGTCAGTTAAATTTTTGAATAAACATTAGATTAAATAGTTGACCAGTAATTCATTTAAACTGTCAGTTATTAATTGTCTAATGCTGTAGACTAATTAAAAGATCAGTAAATCCAATCTTTCATCAGTCGAATGTATGAAAGCGTCAGTATCAAAAAGTTGAAATAATATAGAATGAATAATTTCTGTTCTACTTTTTCTCTTTCTTCCATAATTTCGTATAGATACTTGTACTTGTAACCTATTACTTTCGACCTACAAAATATATGAATAACAAAGATATCGTTCGATACTGTTTATTGTTGACTAGAAAAGATGAAGAAAAACAACCATATTCATTTTACCCCTGGATATTCTCTTTATATGTTATTGTATGTAAATACCTCATGATTTTTTACAAGAAAATATAATATATCTTGCAAATAAAACTGATGTATTTCCAAATAGAATTCACATCAATTGAGGGTGTAGGTGTGTGATGGATATAGAACCCACACACCACACTCACACCCTCAAATCCATAGAAATTTGTTAAATCAAATATGATTATAAAAGCGAAATAATGTATTGTTTATTAAATAAGTGAAGAATAAAATAGAATATATTGATAATTAAATGGAATAAACATTGAAATATTGTTAACAAGATTTAATTCAATGAGAAATATATTTATTCATTGGTAAACTCATTTGAAATTTTCTTAGTTAAAAAATCATTTTTAAAATAAACAAAATATCGAATATGAATTTTTCAAAAAAACTAATTAACTTTGAATATTTCTATGATAATATAATGGTTATAGAATATTGTTTATCTCAATTATAAGATAAAATTCTTTTTTAAACAAAACAAAAAGAAATTTTACATAAAAAAAGCTCTTATCTGATTAACAAGAAAACTAGAAATCTGACGGAGAATAGAAAATATTTCGAATTTCTTCAAAGTCAGACATGATTCTTAAGAGAGAAGAAAAAGAAATTCTTATCTAATCGTTAAGACAAATACCACGTGGTATTCTTCTATATACATATCAGCGTCTATAGATTATTCTATTCGATTTAACATGTAAACAATAGTCTTATTTTAAACAAGATTTCCAAATAAAAATATTTATAATTCAAGCTAAACTTACAGTTTTTTTTAATAACGACTTAACGAAAGATCAACTATCGATTGAAATGAAAAATAGAAATTTTTAATATAAATAAAATCTTTGAATTATTTTTCTTATTGTTTTAAATAAATATGTTTTATAGAAGAAAAGTTTTGATGTAGTTTTTCAGGTAAAAATAAAATATAATGATAAATCTATTATATTAATATAAGATAAATTTTAATTAGAAACAGAAATAAGAATGATAAAACTTCTATCGGAGAAAAATCAAATAAATTCATATCTATTTTATAATATTGGTAATTTATTGAGATAAGTCTCTATCTATGAATAAATAGTAATAACATTTCATTTTCATATTTCTAACAACTAGATTAAATGAAATGAAATTATTTTTTCTATTTATTTCTATTATTGATTATCATATAAAATATAAAATACTATAGGAAAAAAAACCCAAACGATATCGTCATTTTAGTCATATTGAAGAAGAAGAAGTTGAAATAGATGAATATATTCTTCTAATATTCATACCGATTAATATGATAATAAGACTAGAATTGAATTAAATCTTAAGTAATCTCTGTTATGATATTGTATACAAATGAATGAAAAATGATAAATAATGTTTAAATCGGAATTTATTACTTGTCAAAATTGAACAAGTTGTGATCTCCCAGAAAAACACAGTTTTATAATAAAATTTTTTAAAAAAAGAAATGAAAGTAGTAAAAGCATGCAAGCATCAGAAAAATATGTTAAGTATTAATTCTGATGTTGTTGTTTTTATTGATGGTGTTTAATATCCGGATGATGGAAGACGATCGAATGATCGGATGGTTGGTTTTTGAAAGAAGGTTTGTTTGTGCATACGTGGAGCACCATATGATGAGACGACTGGTTCAATTAATCGTTCTTGTTGTGGAACAACAAATTCGGTTTTGGCACCATATTCAACTTTTGGTTCATCAGCAAGGATGATTGATTTTTCGACGAGTGGTGCACCATATGATGATTGGATTGGTAAATCACGGAATACTTTTGGTTCAGAGTATGATGAGCCGTATGATGATTTAATTGGTAAATCACGGAATACTTTTGGTTCAGAGTATGATGAACCGTATGATGATTTTACTGGTAAATCACGGAATAATTTTGGTTGTTCAAATACTGGCATTGGTCGTGAGACTGTTGGGTATAAATCATATGATACTGATTTTGTTTGTTCTTCGGCAAGTGGAGCAATAATACCTTCCATATCAGGCCAGACACAAGCTTTGTTTAAATCATCAAAAATTGTACCACCTGGGCATGATTCAACGTGCATATCATTGTCACACATGATGAAACCTTTATCACTGAAAGCTAATGGGAATGTACCTTGAATTCCGTTGCATGGGCTTTGGTGAACTAAAGAAAGAAATTAAATTAAACTTTTGTAAAATAAATAAAGAAATATTTACCATGACCAGCTGAGAAACCATAAGCACGACCACCTTCAAAGATACACATGTGTGTAAGACCAGCTCCGAATCGGAATGATTGGCATTTTGTTTCGAATGATGATCCACATGGTTGTTGTGTGTGACAAACTGTAGCATCTAATTCACAGATTTTACCATCGAAACCAGTTGGGCATTCACATTTGTATGAGTGTGTGTCAGTTGGGATACATTGGCCGTTGTTAAGACATGGTGATGAAACACATGGACTTTCTAATGGACCCAATTTACGTTCGCATCGGCGTTGTTCTGGGTGATATAAAAGACCTTTTGGGCACCATTGTTCATGACCTTTGCCTTCATCAAGACAGACAACAAATCGAATACCACCATCTAATGGGATAACTGTTTCTGCGCGTTGACCACGGCAAAGGTTATCAGCTTCAGTTGTGATTGTTGATTCGGCAATTTTGAGTTTTAAAGCTTCACGTTGTTCGAACATTAATTGTTCTTGTGATGGAAATACACGTGGTCGGATATCACTTTGAATCATCATTTTGCGTGGTGCTGAGTATGATGAACCATAGCTGGATGTTAATGGAAGATCACGAACGGTTTCGATTAATTCTCTTTGGAATGTTGGTGCTGATCCATAGTTTGATTCAACTGGAAGATCACGCATAACTGATGGAGCAGAGTATGAACCATATGCTAATTAAAAAGAAAAAATTTTTTTTTTATAGAAATTCATTTAAATAAAATTTATTTTATTTACATGATCGTCCGAAAGCTGCGCTCGACAAGGCGAGTAAACAGATTAATGAAATCTATATAAATTTAAGAAAATATTTAATAAGAAATAAAATAAAATAAAATCTATTAACACATACCCAAGCCATCGTTATTGATGTATAAATTGCTTTGATAGTTTATTATATAACGTCGAAGCTGAAAGACTAGTGATGATATGCAGTTAAACAAGACCTTTTATACCCTCCATCCACCCTATCATCCTTTCAAATCAATATGAAAGAAAATGATATCATCCCTTTGTATCTTTTGTTTATCGACATATATCATTAGTATTCTCTTTTTCTTATCGTTTGAAACATATTCGTCGAAGTACGAACACAAAAGAATAGACTAAAATACAATGAATTTCTAGTCAAATGTTATTAACATATCGTATAACATCTATCTCATTCTGATCTAGGTCTATTAAATGATCGAGGTTACCAATACATTTTACAATTGAAATCAGTAGTATTAAATCAAAAAAATGAAGAATTTTTCTAAACTTCATCATTCAATATTTAATCGGATTTCATCTTTAACAAACATGAATATAATATAGAAAACAAAAATATTCGTCATATTTTAATTAAATCGTACAAAGTAAATAAGATTTTATTTATCCAAATATTATTTTCTTTAATTTCATAATCGATTTAACATCTTAGAAGAAAGTTATATGAAAAAAATCTCTAACAATATTCATCATTTACTTTTATTTAAATAATTTCGAATGAGATAATAACGATAACTATAAAATATCAATATCTTTATTTTATTTGCAAGGTTCTACTGTAAAACGTCGAAAAAAAGACGTAGTAGGTAGCGCCATTTTTAATTTTCGATGTTTTACAGTAGAACCCTTTTTCTAGAGTAGTGCAAAAATGTTTTGACTATAATTTCTTAGCCGATAATTGTTTCATACTTGAAATCAAGGCACTTAGTATAGCAAATCCACATAATACTAACCTTCAATTCGAAATCTTGCCTTGTTAGTCTGATAACCAGCTTTTAACAATCAAGCTAAAATAAACTTTTCTCTTTTACATCCAAATCTGCTTGAATGTATAGTAAATTTCGTTGTACTGTAATTCGAATCCTTCATGAACTAATCTGAATATTTTTTAAATTTTTGTATATTGAACATTTCTATTAGAATAACAAACAGAAAAATAACGTAAAAAGTTTGAATCATAAATATGATGAGATTATGTATGTATTGGAAAAAATTAAGTAGTAAATATTTATTTCAAATTCATTATAAATGTTCAGTCGAATTTGAAGGATTATTAATTTGAAAAAATTGTTTATTTAATTTTATAAAACTATATTCAAATGCCCAATGTGGATTATATAAATTAACTTCTTTATGAAATATAACATAATGATTGTCATGAAACAATTGAAATAAATCATGAAGTTTTTCAAATTCATATACTGTAACATTATTAACATTTCGTATTAATTTTGATAAATGTATTTCAACAAGTATTTGACGTATATTTTCACTTACATAATCAGTTGTATTAAATAAATCCTCAAAAAATTCATATTCACTACCTTCAATATCTATCTTAAGTATATCAAGATAACGTCCAGTATGATTTAATTCCGACATAATCATTCGTAATGATTTTGTTCCACCAAGTCCATCACCAATTCGTGTCTGATGAAATGTACAAAAATCTGTACAATTAAATTCTTTCATATCAAATGTATGTATATCACAATTAGGTAGATAACGGCTTGTTTCATTTTCAAAACTAAATTCACCATTTGAACCAAAACTATAGATTAAACATGATGGAATTTGTTTTAAACGATAAACATCACATATCCATTTTCCTCCATCACCATTGATTCCAAGACGTTGTTCAAATCGACATGAAAATGTTGGTTCATAATTATCTTGAAAGAACATATATGGTACACCAGTAAATTGATTACGATTATGTTGAAGATAAAATACTTCCTTACGACGATACCAATCTTCATCAATTTCACAAAAGAAATTATCACTTTCAATACGTGATAATTCACAATTAGAAATACGAATATTATTTAATAATGTTGGATGATAATTATTTAATAGAATAAATGAAATAACTATGAAAAATAATAATAGAATAGAACAAAATCTTTTATTTACGTTAATCATGTTACAAAAGAACTGAGAAGAAAGATACTCTTATTTACTCTTTATTGCATTTTATTCTTATCATTTTCTTTTTTTTACGTGCGAAAAAAAATATAATATCAACAAAATATAAACTGATATCTACTTACGTTATTTTAATAAGTTTACAAATAATATTATCTAATGTTAAAATGAATATATATATAAGATTTCATAGTTTTACTACTATTATTTGTAAATTAACTACAACGATAAGAAAGAAAACTATTAAATATATAATTTCTATTGACTGTACTATGTACAATTAATTAAAAGTGATTTTTGAAAGGTAAGAATTATCAATATGTATACAGAAGGAGCATAGTATTAGAAGAAATATATGTCTGATTATCTGATATCGGTAGATCTTGCATTGAATGGTTCAAATACGTAATGAGAAAATGATTCATTCTAGAATATGAATTTTGAGCATTGATGAATCTGAGTCTGTTAGTTTTTATTTGATCCTACTAGCTAATGAAAGTCACTCACCTTATGTAATCTAGATAGAAGTCACTGATGTATTTGTTCATATTATTGTATCATTCAGTAAAAGCAACAAAATATTTCTACGTAAAAACTAGATACATCTGCAAATTTTGCTATGATATATATTTTTTTCTTTTGTTAAGTATTGTTGGAAGTAATATTATCTATAGCACAGTGAAAACTATGATAATATATACTATCGATAAAGAATTATCTGAATATAAATCGTCTTGTGTATGTATTTTTTCGCTATATTTATTTTCACGAGAATTTTTACAATTGATTAAATAATAGATTGAGAAGACAGACTATAATCGTTTATTGTCATTGAATGAAGATAAGGTTTTCGATAGCTAATTCCACATTTTGTCAATAAAATATATTTTTTTAATCAAGCACTTTTATATTCATTAAAACATTTTAATAGTGTTTCATTTCATTCAAGATTATTAGCATTATGACATTAGTTACTTTCTTTTTATTAATTTAAATACTACTTTGAGTGAAAACACATGTCATCTTAACATATTAAAACGCACTTGAAAAAATAAATATATAAGCAAGTCATTTTCTTATATGAATATGATTACAAACAGTAGTTGTTTTTACTTGACAGGATTCTTTTATGCTGATTTGATATGAAAAAAAAGCCATTGTAGATGATTAATATTTTCCGTTTCAAATATTCTAAGTGGTTTTTCCAACGATTTCAACTATAATAGAGTCACCTATTTCTTGCTTGAGAAAACCAGTGTAGTTTATTCTAATGTTATCACGTTTTTAGATATATACAAACGAGTTTTATGACATTTTTTCAATAGATAATAAGAAAATGGTACTTGTTTGTTATCTTCCCTCCCCCTAAGTTTTTTATTTTATAAAACAGAACAATATTAGTACTAGTTTTCTGGTGGGTAAACCATTACTATATCTTGAGAGTAACTGGGCGTGGGTATTTACGTTCTCACCTATAGGCATACTCACACCCTCAATGATAATAAGATAAAACGCTAAAAATATTAAAAGATTTAGGGGGGAGGAATAGATAACGAACAAGTACCGGCACAACATACTTCACTTTTCTATATTATATCAAGGTTTTTAGTCGTAATCTTTG